TCCCGCTGCTCGCGCCTCCCTCGAGCTCTCCCGCTGCCCGCGCCTCCCGCGAGCCCTCCCGCTGCTCGTGCCTTCCGCTCCCTTTCCCTTTCCCGCTGCCACTGCCGCCACTTGTCGCTGCTTCCTCGTTTCTCCATCAGGTTCAGTATACAGTATACTCTTAATATTAAGTTTATTTGAATTTTGAAATGATTAATTTTCTGTTAATAGATTAATAATATATTATTTTGATTTTAATGTTGTTAATTTTTATTTATTTGAAATTATTAATTATATTATATATTTTTATATTTTAGTGCCTCGCTTCGCTCGGGCGAGCACCTCGGGCGTTTGTGGACCTTGGCGCCTAGCGCTTTTTAAATCACTGATGCAATGCTGCTATCAACTAAGCAAGCTTAAAATACACAATTTTAATACATACAAGACATGAAGAATGAAATATATGAAGTAGGAAGTGCTCTATATACTTTTTTAAGGACTACAAAATGTACGGTATGCTGAAATGTAATGCTATCACATGAGATAAAGAAGCAGAGTTGGAGTACAAACCAGATTCCTGGCTGCAAAGGAAGGCATGTCGAGTCATCCACAACAAGAAGGCTCGGGTGCTCTACAGGAAGGCGAGGATGAGTCATGGATATTGTGTTGAGAGCTCCATCATTGTCTTCCCAATCTTCGTCTCTGTGCCAACTCCACCAGATCGCAGCTTAGAACTCAAAAGAACATTAGCTTGCATTGGTCAATCGCTCACTCACCTGTAGCCTTTGTAAGGCAATGATGCATTGCGAGGGAAACGCCACCGGCACATCTGCAACACCCGAAGGAAGAGCAATGGATGGACGCCCAAAATGGTGGAGGGAACCGTGAGCCCAAATATCTTCCTCGTCCTCTTGGTTGCGTAGCTGAAGTAGAAGGTGTTGGGGAAGGTGCGGAGTCCCGAGTTGAGCTTGATGGAGCCTTCAATGGTGAGGTCCGGTAGGATCCAGTCGCCGGTGGCGAACGGCCCGGTGTTGCCTAAGAGCAGCTCAGCCAGACCTGAGACGCCGGTCTTCCTCCATCCCATCTCGAAATGATCGAACCCGAAGTTGTAGTAGTTCTTGAGCCATGCAATGTCAAACCAGTCGAAGAGTGTGACCCCAATGCGACAGAGCTGAAGCAGACATATCGACTTCATCGTCCTTCCATTTCCTGGTCTGCAACAGAAGAAACCCGACATGAAGTCATCCATCCATCAAGAACTTGCTGGAGGAATCCTGATGACTCACCGCATGCCGTCGTAATATGTTCGGATGGTTCCGTTGATTGCGCCGGAGAGGGAGGTGATGCTCAGCACCCAGTCCTCGGAAGTGTCGTAGCCGCTGAATGCCTGCAACAAGGAACATGTTTGATTCAGGGAAGTGGAGGAGGAGGAGGAGGAAGAGGGAGGAAATGGAGGCACCTTCTCGGCAAGCATCTGCTGCAGCACCCTGGCAACCTGCACGCCTGCGGAGTGCCCGACGAAATGGACGGGGTGGTGCTCATCCCATGAAGGGTGATGCCCTAAGTCGCGGCGCAAGAAATGGATGAGCTGCAATCTAATCCGGCAGGGGCGGGAAGTGATCGGTTTCTGCCTTACCTCGTTCGTAGATCTTCCCGAGCTGTGCGTGACCAAAGTTCCTGCTGTGTTCTTCTCCGTAGTCCACTTGCCCTCCCTTCAGATAGTAGAACAGTTCCCTTGCCCTGGAATCATGGAGCACAAAGGTCTCATTTTTCTTTCCCCTTTACATGAAAACCCCTTCCAATTGACCTCAAAAATGTGATCTTTGGGTAGACCTACCTGTCGTGGATGCTGGTTAGGGATCCTAAATCCGGCACCAGAACGTGGTCGTCCTTCTTCTCTGCCCCTGCGAAGTACGACAACCCTCCGAGCTTCTGCAACCCGATGAGAGACAGAGAGAGGATTCAGTACCAAATCAAGAAAAGAGAAGATAGGCTTAAGCATCGTTGACGAGGAAAGCAGACCCCTTTGCCGAAGCCGAAGATGCCGTGCACCAGAACGATCGGCGGCTGCGGCAGCGGCGTCGGAGACCCATCGAGAGCCGCTGCCTGGAGCTTGCTCCCTTCGTCCGGGTCTCCGGTGGCCAGGTTGAGGACGTTGGGGCGGAAGCAGTCCGTCAAAGCCTGAGAAAGATCCGACGCCACCGCGGTGCTGAATATGTAGAAGCCGAAGAGCAGGTGCACCGCCGCGCTGACGAGGAGCTCCGTCAGGCCGAGGATTCCGATCGACAGCCTCGCCATTTCTCGTCGCTCTCTCTCAGAGCCACCACACACCAACACTTGCTGCTCGTCTTCCAACAAGGACAGCAGAGATGAACAGGTTGTGGAGACGAAGGGAAGAGAGAAGGCAAATGGACCCCTTCCTCTTCCTCCTCCTCTCCGCCCTATCTCTCGCTTTCACATCAGCGTTTTGACGAAGGAAGAAGCGAGGAAAAGATGACTCCTTCCTTCCACTTGTAATACCACACAACCTTCCGAGTATGACAGGAAGGAAAGAAGAGAGAGGTGGGTGGGAGTTGGCAACGGGTACTCTCTGCCCCATTCATCTTTGAATCCCCAGTTTGTTTTCTCGGGTTCCGCTCCTCTCATTCCCACTCATGCTTGCTCATTGGTTGGCTTGCGAGTGCCAGGCTCACCTCTCGATCGACAAACAGGGATTTAGGGACCTAATGATAGACCAGTCGTCGAAAGAGGCGTGGGATTCTAATCCATCCACCTCAGCCTGTCGATGAAAACGGTTATAAAACTTGGATCATATCAACGAATGATTTGATGAGTCGATGATGTCGAATCCAATTTTAGTGAAGAGAGGACAACAGATGTCTTTGACTGGAGATGGGGGTTAGTTTAATTATATAGCAATTTCTTTTATGATTGGATGAATGCATAAAATAAATTGTTGTTTGCTTTCCTCTTGTGTCTATGGTGAGAGAACATTGCAGATACCCTCTTCTCTTTGAAGGTTGCAAAATGGTAGATTTATATGGATAATGATATGTATTGTTTATTTTCCTCTAGTCTGTCTGCTGTAACATGAAGTAAAAAAAAAAAAAGGTCAACGATTGATTGATTCTATTGGATGTATAGAGAGAGGGATGAAGAACGATAGATAGATAATCAACAATAAAAACCAGTGAATCAAGTTTTTATCGTCTTTTGACTTACAGCCGCGCCGCTTGGAAACGATGGAGCATATTCACTACGCGAAACAAGGGGATGGAAACAAGCCCCTTGGTTGGCCCATTAGAATCAACACCGAGAACCTCTGACTTCGGCTAGGTCAACTAGGTAGGGCGGCAGTCCATGATTGACCATGGAATAATAATAGTCCAACTTACAAGGCGGTTGTTTCTTAAGCTCATGGGCATCAATGACAAGGATGAGAATGTGGATCGATCTGTGCATTGACAACGACCCAAGGGGACCTCAAATAATACCACAAACGCATGGTATAGTGTTCATAACCATAACCTGGACGGATTGATTGGAGAACAATATTGTCATGCACCGTGAGCTATGTATGCATTACTTCATCCTTCTCATCTCAACATGTCATAGAGATACCAACCCATTGGAACCAACCAAGAAAGCAATGCAACTTTTTTCAACCAGGAGCATCAAGAGCCAGCAGCTGCTGCTGCTGCAAATCAAACCATGTCCATTTTCCTCAACATCTTACAGCTAAACTTCCTAGAGGGAAGAAGAATTAGTGACAAACCGTCTTGGAACACTGAACAGATCCCTCCCTGCAAAAGGGGATGACCACTCGAGTGATCCAGACAAGTACGAGGAGTCCGTTGAGAGGCCGTCATCGTGCATCCCTGGTACGTAGATGCCACCTGTGGCGTCCATGCCTGGCCTCGCAGCTCTGCCACCCATAAACATGGTAGACCACGTAGCAGATAGACGATCGCTCTTCGTTGATGGCCTCAACAGAGTTGTATCCAAGCTCCAGTCTATAGAGGTGTAGTCACATGGTGTCGATCCACCAGAACTCCAGTCTGCTGGTGATGAAAAAGAGGAACCAGATGAACCCCACCCGGTGAAGATTCCAAGTGAGGGTGGCACCACAAGCGACGATGACGATGATGATGAAGAACCAGCAGCGTTCCATGAACCATCGAAGCCAGAAGAAGTTTGGAAATGACTCTGGGGAACCAATTGCTGGGCACTGGAGCCATTCAAACCCAAATAGTGTGGACCATGGCCCAGACCCCCATTTGCCATCATCATCTCCATGCTAGAAATACCATTTGAATACCATCCTGTGGAAGCTGGTGGTGATACACTAATGCTGGGGCTTGTGGACGTGATATTGTGCTTGGCATTGACGGACTGGGGACGCTGCATTACACTGACCGGTTCCCTCAGTTTTATCGATGGCATGTTGGCCCTAGATTCACTGGTTGCCATCACAGACCGAGTGGTTGGAGATGCGGCTACCTGCAAGGATGACAAAGAGTATGAAATGGATGGTGTAGGACTAAAATTTGACCACTTTTTCTCCACAGGAGCAGCCACTTGTGTTCTTCCCCAATCTGGCTTAGACTGTACTCTTCTCAAAGATTGCAAATTCCTACTTGTGGACTCTACATCTCCATTTGTCACAGTTTTGAGGTAGTTTGGATCCCGTTCATCTCTTCTCTGCTGCTGAGTGCCAACTGACGCCAGCCCCTTCTGTTGATGTCTTGAAGTTGCATTCTGAATAGGTATTGCAATCTTATTGTCCAGATCACTTGCAGTGGCAGAGTCACCTGTTTCTTCCAATTTCAATGGAGAAGATTTTGGCTCTTGCTTCTGTGCCTTTAAAGTCTCTTCGGCCTTTTCTAGGTCACCCTCACAAGCAACTACAGCTCTTTCAACCTCCTGCTTAGTGCACTTGAACTTCACCACCATGTCTGAAATCTCTGCAAGCTCTGCGGTGATGTCTATTTTCAAGTTAACACTACTGTCTATGTTTGCGGCAATCTGCTGTTTGCTTTCTTCATTCCCTTCAAGGAGCCAAGCAATGGATTCTTCGACACGCCCTTCATTTTGTATAAGAGCCATTGTTGCCTGTTCTGAAGAGAAACCCATTGCTACAAGTTTCTGGGAGAGCATCTCTAGTTTCCTAGACATGAGGTACCCACAACAACGCTCATGTAGTTCCTGTGCTCGCCTCTCCTTCTGGCGTTGATGCTTCTTCTCATTTTTCTGCCGAATCTTCTCGCGCTTGTCGGTATCACAACCAGGTACAGATTCAACGCGAATTGCATTATTAGTTGTACTTTTCTCCTTCTGATCCTCGGACTCACCAGAGTAGCCATTATGGTTAGACATCGAATCAAACTCACCTGTTGTACCAAGTGAACTACTACCAGAATGCTCCTCCATTTCATCTATGGTTCCAAAATGACCATTCAATTGGCCTGCCGGCAATGAACCAGAGGCCATTGTATCAAAGGTGTGGAATGTCCCTGAATCTGGATTGTATGCATTTGAAGAAGAACCATTCCCATAGCTAGGAGCTAGAGAAGGTTTCGAAGAGACTTTGGCTTGTTCCTTGGCAGCCTTTGCAGCCAATTTATCCTTCGACTTAGATTTGGACGCTGGAGACATTTCTAATGATTTTATTACAGTAATTTTCCTGCAAAAGATCGTATTGCAAATTTGATTAATCAGACTGTCATCAAACGATTCACTCAAATAGTATTATGAGGCCTGCCAGAACAAAAAATAACAGACATGAACAGCAGCTTCAACCAGGAATCTCAACTCACTTCAGAAAGGAATATGGAAGAAATAGAAACAGAACCAAGGACAACAAACCAACACTTACAATCACAAGTTACAACATCCTAACTAATTAAAGTTGACCACATAGATCTTTTCCCACTATATGATATTTTCTATAGGGCATATCCCTAGTTAAATCAGTGGTATTCACTTTGTTTTATATCATTTCTATAAAGTATTTTTAGGTCTTCCTCTTATCTCCCATGGTACTGTTAATCCTAATCAAATCAGTTCATCTAATCATGGCATACGTAGATCTTAGTAAGATGTCTACACAATCTTAAAACAATTTTCACTTTATCCTTTGTCAAGACACATAATTGCACACGTATAAAATGTTTCTATTTTATTTTTTTCTAATACCTCCACACATCCATGTCAACATTCTTATTTTGAGTGCATTAACATTACGTATTGTTTCTTAACTTTCTAAGATCGAACACAGAGCATGATTCATCTTATAACTATATTATAAAACTTTTTTATCTATGGGGTACACAACAATCACAAAAAAAAAAATTCTAACACACCTCGACTTCATATCATGTTTTCATTTTATTAACAATATCTTCATCAATCCTTTTCTCCCAGTAAACAATAGATCCAAGATGACTAATATTCTTAACATTTGTCCATCCATCTTAATTATAACCTTGATTGTCATAGTATTACTGAGATAATAATTACATACACCAAGTATAAGTCCTACTTAATCAAAGTCCTCTAGTTAATAAACATGGTCTCAAAAACTCAAATTAATCCCAATTAACCTTTCATCAATTGAATCAAGGAATGAACTAAGTGCATCCGAATGAAAAATGCAACATAAAAATGAATATACAAGTCTCCATCCACCCTCTCACCACAATCATAAGAAATTACTGTTGACTTCATTCCGTTCAAGCACATAGTGAATAACAGCAAGAGACAAGACAACACAACTTGCATATATACCTAGTATCAGAAGAAACCACGAGTTCCTGTCGCAAGTATAACTTCCTCAATATTACTAGCTTTATCTACCTAACACGTTTTTAATGATAATACAGGTAAATTACAAATAATTTGTACTAGTCCATCTTCAAACGTCTATTTTTTGTTTGGTGTAACATCAAGATTGAGATAATAATCAGCAAATAATTTGTACGGTTAAACCCAAAACAACCCATGTTAATGTTGAACCTAGAAGTAGCAAATAACAAAGTCTTTCTTGGGAACATATCCACAAAGAAAAATTACAACAAAGAAATTACTGATTCCACAGAAGCATTAGTGATCGATCCCAAGAATGATGAAATATGCTTTAAAACGTATAGATAAACTAAGCATTTTTAACTTATGGTCATACCATGCTCAATTATGAAAATAAGAGAAAAGACAAGAAGAGAAATATGAAACTTCAAGAAACAATTACTTGCATAATAAAACATGGAGATTTCCACAATTATCTCCTGATAATGGTCCAACCATGCAAAGGACTGACAACAAACTGCCCACAAAAATAAATTATTGCAACAAAAATATGGAAACTCTAAGTTTGGTCATGCTGAATATAAAAAGTGAACAGCTCGACAAATGGGGCGACAATGAAGATATCATTGTATTCCAATTCCAATATGGTATGCTCCCATAGCAGTATTATCCAAAGCTGATTAGATTCAGGCTGATTTTCGGCCTTATAGTTAGAATTTAAAAAATGGTCAAAATTCGATTGAATCAACCATATTCAGCCATAGTTTGCAGATTTTAACCAATTTTAGCTGATTCAACAGACATAATAAAAAACAAAGAAGGGAGGAAAAAG